TTCTTTTTCTTTCTTTCTTTCTTTCTTTCTTTCTTTCTTTCTTTCTTTCTTTCTTTCTTTTCTTTCTTTCTTTCTTTCTTTCTTTCTTTGTTTTTTGCCACAGATTGTCCATCCATATTTACTTTCTGAAATAAAATGAATCATGAAAACTGTCACTTTAGTCAATGTTAAATAATTATACTGAGGCATTTTAAAAGAAGATATGTTCAAATAAGTTGTATAAGTGAATAACTTACCAGTTGCAATTTCATTTAAAAAAATGGAAGCATAATGTTCTTATAGAATGTTCTCACATTTCTTAAGCATTTTTTATAAGTAATAAAACATTTCTGGAATGCTCATTTTAATTTTAAAGCCCAGGCTATTCTGTGGAAAACATTTCGTGCATAGATGACTTGAACAACAGAGGAGGAATGTGCAGTGGGAAGCGTCATGGATTGTGGCACTCAAAATACATTCTGAAGGAACATTTCAGACAATGATACTTATTCTTCATTTTAAGCAAGTTTTAAACTAGGTGTTATAATTTGTCTTAATCTGGGCACATATCTTTTAACTCTGTCCATATAAATTAGAGTGACAGTAGTGCAATTTTTGGAGCTTGTAAAAGCCCATATAATAAATCAAGCTTGTTGTCATCCTTATGTAATACATGATGAAGACACATGACTCTACTTAGTGTCTTGTAAAACATATGGAATGCTCTTTGTTCACTTCCTTAACCACAGTTAGCATGAGGGGATTCAGAAACAAGATAAGATTAGGCTCAGAGAGAGTACTTTTGACAAGGATTCCCTTAACCAATTTTCTGTATTTATGTGGGGAACAGACTAGAAAATATACATTAAATGCCAACCAATATTTGTGTCATGTTATGCATTTTAAAAAACACTTTACCTTATTTAATCTTCCTATCATATTGCAATATGATGTGATTTTCTTATTTTCTAAGCAAGGAAACAAAATCTTGCCATAATTCATTGCACTCTGGGTCATGAACATGGGAATAAAGCAAATTAGAATAAAACAGAGGGTAATTGAACAAGGAGAAAAGTTCAGACAAAAATTATTTTCATTCCCATACTTCCTCTGTGGTTCTCAGTTCCTAGCTAAACAGTGGGTCCAAATATCCAAGTAAACAAATGTCTAATGCTCCATAAACAGCAGGCAAAATCCCTAGGGGCTGCTGACCAGAAAGGGTTTATATAATATGTTCTCATAGATGTGATGCATGATTATCAGAAGCCTCAGCTACTTAAAGAGATGCAGCCTAGTTCCCTCCCATCTTCCCTCTCTCTCAAGATTTATTTATTTTAATTGACAAATAATAATTATGGGACACAATCATGTTTTGATCTATGTATATATTGAAGAAAGAGTCAATAAAGCCAATTAACACACTTTTCATCTCATGGACTTTTCATTGGAACCTTGATTTCAGTAGGAGTTTCAGGTCTTCTAGTTTAAACATTGGATACAAATACCCCTCTTCCCTTTCTTTATAAAGAAGACTTTCAAGCTTCAATTTGCTATTGGGGGTTTAATTAGGAAATGATATTTTTCATAATGCACTTCTGTGTGAGGTTTTTATTTCCAAATACATATGCTTAATTTTAATTTCCAAATAGTGCTCTTATGATGAGTTTGTTCTAATCTTTGTTAAGATTAATTTCTTTTTTTCCACAGCCTTACTAAGGGATCATCTATAAATAAAACTTGTTTATATTTAAGGTATATACTTTGATGTCTTGATACATGTATAGGTTGTAAAATGATTGAATCAACTAATTAACACATTGGTCATCTCACTTATGTTTTTTGTGGTGAGGAATTTGCTTTTATTTTAAATAAGTTTATAAAAGCAATACATGTTTATTATTAACATATTCAGGCAACTCAAAATATGGACACTAAAAAAAAATCTCTTCAACTATCCCACTTATCAAACCATATACATAATATTTATTGAACACCTACTATGTTCAGTATTCTGGTTGCTGGAGAACTAAATGCATTTTGTACTTTCATGGAGTTTACATTTTTAGTATTAGCAGCATCTGATAAACATAAAGAAATAAAAAAATTCAGTCCCATGTTTTTAGGAAAAACAAAGTGAGATGAAGTGATAGAGTGAGAGAAGATGGGGATGGAGGTGGTCAGGAAAGGCCTTTTGATAGGAGACTTTTCAGAGGGCCTTGTTGGAGAGGCTCAACAAGATGGAGAAATACATAGGGGACAGATTAAAAGGAAAAGAAAATTAATTATAGGGAGGATTTGGGCTTTGTTGCCCTATTAGTATGCATCAGTGTTTCCCCCTTTTCATTTTAATAATATCTATTCTTAGTCTTAGACTAACACTTGATTAAAATTATTTACTAACTTATCCTAACCAATTATTTATCAATTTATAAAAACTTAATTAAAATTATTTTGCCTCCCTCTTCATATGCCGCTGGCTACAAAGTGATATAAGTTTCAGTTTCTAATTTGCTAATTTTGAGACTTATAATTTTTTACTTTTCCCATTTTGACCACTTTATCAAGCTCTTATATTTTTCCATATGCAGTTTCTGTAATTAATGCACAGAGACACACACACAGTCAGTAATTTAAAGTATTCTTGAATGATGAAATTCAATATCTAAAGCATTGTCTTTAGATTTCTATGTCTTTAGTTGAGAACTCAGTGATGGCTGATTATGCAGCTTTTGGTGCCATGACTTGACCCCTGGGAATGTACCAGTAGTATTGGGAATGAATAATATTATGGTGAAATACTTTCTTTTCTTCTGGGCTATAGTATCTCAAGACTCTGTTCTCCTCACAAACTATCTAATAAATTACCTGTATTTTTCCAATTTCAGGTTACCACACTTGTAAATTGTCCCCAGAATCCTTCCAACAGGAAAAAAGGACGTTCAAAAAGAGCCAGAGTCCTTCTAGCTTCTGTGGAGGAAGCAACTTGGAATTTATTAGACAAGGGAGAGAAGATTGCTCAGGAAGCCACAGTTTTAAAAGAAGAGCTTACTTCTGCACTTGGGGAAGTTCAAAAAGAGAGTGAGTACTCTAGTCCTGGACAGGAGCAAACTGCATATCCTCAGGGTGTGAGTTACTGACTTAGATTTGTGAGTATTTTGTTTTTGTTGGCTTGAGTTTATTAGTCTTTCACAGAGCTGTGAAGAGCTAGCTGTGAGAGGCAGAGTGGCTCATTAGACAGCTCTGAGGCTCAATGTCCCAGTCCTGGCTTTTTTCTTTATTTACTCAGTCCCTGCAGACAACTTTGGTTCCATCACTCCATAACTTATCTACAGCAAACAAAGAGGAGACTAATGAAGCTGAAGACACATTTGCCCATACATAAATAAATTATAATGTTTTCATAAACAGTTGGGAGATAGAAGTTTCAGATCTGCCTCAGTACATTTTTTATTTTTCAATTTTCTAGAGGTTTAAATTTAGCAAACTTTTTTTTTTAATGCTGTGGGTAAACTGCATAACCTGTTTTGCTATATTACATAATAAAAGCATATGTTTCACCTTTTGATATCTTCACTTACGATAATATAATTTTCTTTTTTTATTCATTAAGTTTATTGGTACATGTTAGGTATACATTATGATTGCATCATCATTGGGACTTTGTACCTATACATGATATATCTTGTTCTTTTTTTTTCTCATACCCCTTCCCTCCCTTCCACTCCTCCACCCCTCCCAATTTAGATAATACAATTTTCTAATGAAGTAAGTCTCATCTGCAGGATATTTAAAAAACTAATCAATAGAAAAGATTTTATGTACATTAACTTGCTGCAAGTTACTATTTTGGGAGGGAAAGGAAGTTGAATTTTCCTCTTCAGCTTCATAAAAGAGGCTTGAGATGTCCAAATATTTCCTTTTCACTGCCTTTGACATAAATTTAAGAAATTTAGAAAGTCTTTTCTAAATAATTACAATGAACATACAAGCCACATAAATGTTAGGTCAAATGTATGATACAGGTGATTATTTTTTATATACTTGAAATTTTAATTTTAACATGTATTTTTAAAAATAAAGTTTATTGTGTATACTTAAAATATACAACATGATGTTATAGGATCTATATATACACTGCAAAATGGCTACCATAATGAAACATTAACATGTCAATCATCTCACATAGTTACTTTTTTTGGTGGCAGGAGAAGCTAAAATTTTGTAAAATTCCTGAATACAATATTATTAATTATAAATTTCATGTTATATATTAGATTTCTAGACTTGTTCATCTTACATATCTGCTACTTTTTAACTTTTATTTTTTGTGGTACTGGGGTTAGAACCCAGGGTGCTTTGTCATTGAAGTACATCCCCAGACTTTTTAATTTTAATTTTTTATTTTGAGACAGGGTCTCACTAAGTTGTCTAGGTGGGACTCAAACTTGTGATCTTCCTGCCTCAGCCTCCCTCATTGCTGAGATTATAGGTGTGGATACCATGCCTAATTTATAGCTACTATTTTGCATTGTTTGGCCTACATCTTCTCATTTCTTCTCATCTTTTTTCTAGCCCACATTAATCACAGTTTTATTCTCTACTTCCATATTTTTATGTTTGAGGTCTTCTTTTTTTAGATTTCATATATAAGTGAAATCATGAAATATTTTTCTATGTTCATGTTATTTCACATAGAGTAATATCTCCCAGGTTTGTCATAACAAATGGCAGGATCTCTTCTTTTTTTTTTTGTATTAAATTATTTTATTAGTACACTGTAGGTATACAACACAATTACATTTCTCATTGGGAATTG